ATTTTTACTTAGAAGCTTTTTTATGTACGCACTGAACAACGAGCAATTGAGAGAAAAGTCTTTCGTTGCGAGTTTTCAGGCTCTTTCAAACCACTAAGAGGGGTTAGCAGTCTAAATTTCCCTCTTTGCAATATGGTATCAAATATTTACATACAGTCTTCATATATATTAAAGATCTTTCGAAGCTTTTTCAAAATCACCTATCAACAAGCTACAACTTTGCAATAATTATTTTTATTATAAAATTCAATACAAACACTGATTTGCTGGACGCAAACTAATTACTCAAGCTTTAAACTGCTCAACGCTGGCAAAATAATTTCATTTCTTCTGCGGTTTTATAGGAAAATTGCGAATTAGCGCATTCCACTTTTAATTTGCAATCATCAATTCAATTTAAGTTCAATTGAATGCAAAAAACGGACAGAGGCGATGAACGAATATGCTGATAGATAGAGGATAAGCCGCAGCTAGTGGACGGTCAATGCATGCATTTGTATAACGGCTGCGGTAACGGTGACATATTTTTCTGTTTATATGACATATACACATACACATATGTATGTATATATATTATATATGTAAGCATACATACATCCATTGAGTTCAATCGAATTTCCGCAATTTCATTCAATAATTTCTTTATTGAATTGAGTCAAATTAAAACGAAATTTGCAATGAAAGAGAAAAATCGCTCGCAAAAACATGGAAAAACGAATGCAAAGGAGGAATTTTAATTTTTTGAAATTTTGCTTTTTTGTGGCCACACAAAGAATATGGCGGCCAATGGTGAGCCAAACACACCTACACATAAGTAAACTCCTCAATAACAAAAAATGTATAAGTGTGTGTTTCGATTTCATCCGCATTGGCGTGGCTCCAATGGCGTGTGGCGGCAGCGCGCTTGACGCTCTCCAATCGACCGGCCAAGCCACTCTGCATACACACTCAGCCAACGACCGTCCAATTAATTTGTGGTTTATCTTTATTTCAACGATATTTGTTACTTTGTTGCTTTTTTGTTATTCTTGTTGTTGTTGTTGTTGTACATTACTGTTTGCACAAATTTTAATTTGGCGGCTTGACTTTGCATTTATCATATTATTTTATTGGTCATTGGCGTTCAACGCCATGCAGCACAGGCTACACAGCAGTTGGTTGGGGTATAAATGTAGGCAATCGATTGCATATATCAACACCCGCTAGGAAATTGACAGCTGGGACAGGTTTCACGTATGATTTTTTGCTTTTGGGGTTATCATAATGGATCGATTTTTGTCGTCTCTCAACGTCTCTTGGCTTCAATTCAAACGGCACCCAATTTTGGAGCTTTCTAATGTATTCGACTGCTTTTAAACGTTTTGGAATAGCTACTTGAGTGATTCCCAAAAAAAACGGCGTGCTTTTCTTGGGCTTATCAACAATCTTCAGCGAGTAATGCTTTCAGTTCCTCATCTTCAAACTTTTTTGGCCACCCAGGACATTCTTCGTCCACCAAATCAAAATCAAGACTTTCAAAGCATACAAACCACTTTTGACACGTTCATTTAGCTGGCGCATGTTCACCATGAGCTTCCACCAAAATACGATAACTTTCGGCTGAAGTTTTCTTCATAATAAAGTTATGAAGGAAAACTGCCCACAAAAACACTTGTTCAGTGCAGAAAGTTCAACAGTGGACAATGGAAGTTACGCCATCTCTGATTGATATATATATATTGATATATATGCGATCCCCATAACTCACATATCGCGCTAACTTCCTACAGGGCACATGCGTACCAACGTAAGCACCAACCACTCGAGTCCATATTTATTTCGTGGCGCTTCGCTCCTCTGCTTCAAATGATTCATATGCAAAATATGAGTTCATGTCGAGGTACCATGAAAAACTTTTTTGGATCCCAAATAGATGTGTGTGTATATGTATGTATTATGATACAATTAAGCCTGCGTGTGTGCTGCGTATATCCATTGGGCCCTGCTGTTTGTTGGTCACCCCCAGTTATGGTTATTATGGATCTTGTCTTTGGTAGCTTGTTCAACAGTCGCCTTTTAATTATCATCAATTATTCAAAGCCATTTTTTAATTGAGCACTTTTTGCAATTGAATTGCCGATCTCACTATTTTTTTTTTAGCGTTTTTTTTTTAGTTATATTTTTTAAAAAAATTTGAGTTCCAAAAACTTTTTTATTATTTAGTGAGATTTTTTAAATTTTGAATACAAAAATTATTTTGTATAAAAATATTTTTTAATCTATGGTATTTGGAACTTTCTAAAAAACAACAATAATTTTATAACAGAAAAAAATATTTTCCACATTTTAATAATTTTGAATTCAAAAAATTTTTTGTATTAAATTTGATATATATGACATTGTCCAAAAACTTTATAAGAATTTTATAAAAAAAATATTTTCCATATTTTTATAATTTTGAATTCAAAAATGTTTTTGTATTTAATTTGATCTATATCATATTATCCAAAAAAGCAACAAAACTTTAATAAAAAAAAAAAATTTCCATACTTCAATAATTTTGAATACAAAATTTCAAATTTAATTTTATATGAGAAACTTTCTATTTTTAATCATTTGAGTAATTTCCTTTATATTTTTTTTATTTGAAGAGAAGTAGAAATCTACACCGTTTCATATATAGCCAAGCAATACAGAAAACTCACACTTCCATTTTTTTAATTTTGCACCAAATTCATTTAAAAATTCTTTATATGCGGAAATTAAAAAAAAAAATTTTCTTCTTTTTTGTTTTACATCTGATTTAATTTAAGCGCTGAGTGCTGCATTATTAAATCGTGTGTAATTTCACAGGAAAGGCATGAAAGAAAACACTTCAACGCTGAAGTATGCCTTAGGTAGCCGTCGGTGCGGCGACACTACACCGCTTAACAGTAAAAAAGGAAGCTGAAATATAAATGAGTGCCGAGATGCTTATCAGCTTGCAATGGTAATTGAGATACTCGGCATTCGAATATATGTGATTCTATAGTCGAAAATTGTCGACATAAAAAGGGTAAAACTCAAAATAACTCATTTTTGAAAATTTGATACAATCAATTGGTAATTACTTATGGTATTTATTTTTAAAAATATATTTTCATTATTAAACCAGTAGAAATAAAAATTTCAGCCTCGTAAACCTGCTTTAAGCTGTTTAGTTTGTTAGCTTTATTGAATTAATACGAATATATTATCAATTTTCTTAAATTTTCTTTAACAAGTGGCAACTTTTTCAACAAAAATTTTTACTGTGAGCTTGTTTTTAAATATTTTCAGTTTATAAGGTTTATTTGCCCAATAGTTTTTTTTTTTTTTGACAAAATATTTTTAAAGAGATGGCAACTACACCACTTTTTGTGTTACAACTCTCGAATATTACACTAAAAAACTCAAAACTTCAGATTGGTTCAGCCTTCACTATATACGGTATATGAATTAATATATCTTTAGCAATAAATTGCTCAAAAAAGGCTTATTGATTTTATTCAAATTAGAGGAGATTCGAACTCATGTATGAAAGTACCGGATTATAGCACTATTGAAAGTAATACACAGATCGTAAAGTTAGAAAACTCTACCTGATATACAAGCAAATATGTAAATATAATTAAAGCAGACGTCCATTCCCACGACAGTCGGCTAGACGTAACTAGCATGAGTCCAGAGTTTTAATACGTAAAATGTATAATGAAACTCAACAGCATCATTCAAAGTTATTTGGATAATGTTCTTCAACTGTAATATTATACAAAAACTGACGTCGCGCTGCTCTATCTCAAATGGAGTAAAAAGAAGCTGAAAAATTAAAGCGACCCATATTTTATGAGAGACGTTAACAAATGAGCAATTTTATCTGCTTGCTGAGAAAGTATCTAGCGCTATTCCGACCAATACCAGACCACATAACGTGTCAACAACCAAAAAATATGAAGTTCCAATATAAAAATTTAGATGCGATACATATATCTAGGAACACAGCGTTATGTAGGGCATCAGATTCCAATATATTGCATAAAACTCGAGCCGAAGATAGGCGACCGATTTTGTACCAAAATTTTTTTTCAAAACTCGAGAAGTTCATTTATAAGAAAATAATGGTCTGTAGTATAGTAATTTAAATTTTTTTCTCTTTGATCAGATGGAAATATCAGGCCTCGTAAATATTGTGCTTAAGAAGTTCTGATCATGCCTTAAAGCAATATTACCATCGATAGAATTTATACAACTATAAGGTGAAATTTGGAACTATTTTATATCGAACCACTTTATCAACCAGTGTCGGAAATCACTATATTATTTATTTTTAAAATCTCTTTCTATGTTTTTGTCTGATTTTCAATAAAAATCACAAATCTATTCGATAACTTCTCAACTTCTATTTATAAGTGATATAAATTTCAATATATCAAGCAATGCAAAATCGCATGATATTTATTTGATTTATAATTAGTTTCATGCAATTTTACTCATTATTTGTATATTTTTTAAAAGAAACACTTGAACAACTTAAACTTAAAACTAGACTACTGAAGAATAAGTTTACTGTCAAACATAATTTTAAAGCAGCAAAGCACTGCAAAAAAATGTAAGAAAATATATTTTAAACAAAATAAACGCAGCAGAATAGTATGAGTTGCGAATTGGAATTTAGAAAATTTCTTACAATTTTTGCAATGCGTTATTCAATCAAAAATAAAAATGAAGCTAGAAAATAATGTCATTTTGGTACTAAAAATATAACAATTTTCACTGAAATATTTTTTTATATTTTCTTTATTAGTTTTATTGAACAATATGCAATAAAAATTTTGTTACATTAGCTATTAACTGTGAATATTGCCTCAAATTTTTATAATTCAAAATAAAATTGATTTTTCAAAGCTGAAAAGTATGCGTTTTTTTGTTGTATTATTTAACTGTCTTTAACGAAGAACTTTACAAAAAAAATATATATTTTTTGTATAATGCTATTAATTTACCTTATTTCCGTCTGTGAAAATTTTGACGACAATTATATGGCGGGTTTCCTACTTGGAAACCCGTCCTAGCGTGCTTTGAATAAAAAAGCTTAGGTCAACACGAGAAAATGCTGAGAAGGCAATTATAGTCTATTTTTTAGAAACTTTTATTATAAATATTTTATGCACCGTTTATTTCAGTAACTGTTATTATAATATTTTAGTATGCTTCTATTAAAGTGCGTTTGATTTCAACTTTTTATCACACTTTCACCAATTTACCTTCACCAATTTTATTTAGTAAACGCGCACAGACACTCACACACTTGTACTTGTATGTTTCTCAATTCCGCAACTCTTTGCTGCTCATACACACAGTCCGTCAACGGCGTAGAAAAATCACGTCCTTTTATAAACACAACAACAAGGACAACAATGAAAGTTTTTGTGCCGCACAATTACGCGTTTAATTATCCACAAAATAGGCGAGCAGCGTAGCGCAGCGGACGAGTCAGCCAGCGCAGGTGAGTGCAACACATATATGTATGTATGTATCTATGTAAGTGTACACCAATACTACCGCAAACACACGTGTGACGTGTAATTTAGTTATAGTTTAGTTTAAATAAAAAAAAACGGCCGTAGTTGGGCGCAAAAGTTTCGCTTAACACACACTTAAATTGCACTTTTCAACTTTGATGCGCGCGTGTTTCGCATACAATAACAACAACAACAACAATGCGCTGTACGAAGTTTCCAAGCTTTTTTCTCACTTGGTTGGGCAAAGGTTAATTTGCTAGCTGCAGTATAGCTGTGTCCTGCTTGGTTTTTTCGAAACGCTTCAAGTGTTTAAAGTATTTCTGAAGCTGTGTAGAAGAGTTCTCGAAGGTTTTTGAGTATTCTTCAGTATGTGTACTGTTTTGCAGTTGGGCGTGAGTTCTTAAAACTTTCGCTGCTGATGCTTGAAAGCAAATTTTAGAGGCGATTAGTTGAAGTTTTTGTTTTTTTTTGAATTTCGCAGCCTTTTGAATCAGTTTTGAGAATATATAATATTTTTCATTTTTATATATTTTTTGTATTTCTTTCTTTGTTTTATATTTTCTTAGTTATTCAATTAAGCACAATAATATTCATATTTATTAACTTTTTAGCGTCTAAATTAATAATATTTAGTTTTTGCAATCATTATTTACTTTTGTTGTTGCTTCTTCAATCGACAACTATGAAGATATAAATTTTTGTTTATTTTTTTTTTTAACTGCAGCTATTTATTATTAAAAGTGCCACTTTATCATGCATTTTTTAAATTATTTCCAAATTTTTTTACAGTTTTAATAACTTTAAAATGCAAGAAAATGTCAAAAAAAAATTTTATATATTTATTTTTATAGATTTTTTTATTAATTTATTAGACTTTTTAAATTGCTCTTTAAAAATATGGTTTTATAAAATTAATAATTAAATTTGGTTAAATTAATTTTTTTTAAGAATCAATATATTTTTTACAGTTTTAATAACGTTTTAAATCCGAGAAAAATTTTTTTATTTTAATATTTTTTTATTATTGTTTTTTTTACTATATATAATTATTTTTTAAATGTTTTTTTTTATTTTAATATTTTTTTTTGCGATATTTTTCTAATATTTTGTGTTCAATTTCGTATTTCTTCCACTTATATTTCAACTTCTTTGCAGTTCGTCAACATATTTTTAATAATTTTTGGCAATTTTTTTCAAAAGCGACCGCGTGTGGCACGAAATTCCATTAACTTGCAAATAAAGCACGACGAAATGTAATCATACAACCGGATAACGGTACAATGCGTGCTTACACGTAAACTGCTCGCTGGCGAATGATCTAATATGTTTGGTGGCTGTTGCTCTAATTTGAATTGATTATGTTGTTGGCGTTCCTGCGGCGCGACGGCACTGTTGCGACAACAACGATTTACTTTTACGCAAAGCGGCAAGTAGCGGCGGCTGCTGCTGCTGCGACTGTGTGGCAAACGACTGACGATCGAAGCTGCTGCATGCCACACAACGGCACCGCCAACAGCACAAGCTTAATACTTATGCTTAAATATGAGTTAGAGGGTTGGGCGTGTGGCGGCGCCTTAATGTATGCTGCTGACACTGCACGTTGTGTTGTTGGTGGCGGCTAATGTATGGTGCGCTTGGGGTGAGTTCACTTGTGCTACATGTCTTTTGTTTATGTATACATTTTGTTGCCGCAATTTATGTGTGTTGCTTTGTACGCTCAATGGGCTGTCCTTATGGCACACACATTTCCCCTGTGCCAATGAGAATTTCCCGCTATTTGTGGCGTGTGCCACAGCGATTGCGCGTGCGCGTACTCTCTTTTGATTGCTGGTTGTTGTTGTTACTATATATTATATTGTTTTTTTTTTTTTAATTTTATTGCTTGCACCATTTCTTACGCTCTCGCCAACTCAGCAGTTTCTTTATTCTGCCACAGCTTCTTGCTCAAGCTCACATATTTGGACGGCATCACGCAGATTTTTCGCACAAATAAAATTGAATTTTCATGACCTGCTTGTGCATTCATTTTATCCCACTGCATAGTCTTCCCTCGATCTGCTTAAGTTCATAGTTACTCCCTGCGCTAAATATATCCTTGAAAATTCAAGCTTATTGCTATAATTCTCGTATCTTGGTTATTTTTCTTGTTGTAATTTAATTTTTCAATTCTACTCGTTTTTATCTGCTTCCTGAGTACTTTATTTTATTGCTGCAATTGCATTGAGATTGATATTTTGCGCACTCATTGTTTTCATCTTGGCCGAAGCCTTTATTGTTATTGCTATTTTATAATTTTTCAACTTGTTTTTCGTCTTGTATTTACCAAATCTACCTCTACTAATATGACGGCAAATTTATTGCCGCGCTCTATCGCTCTATCACTATCTCTCTCGCTCTTACTTATGAAATATTACGCTTTCTCTCTCTTACTTGTGAACTTGCCATGTTGTTGTTGCTTGCCCACATGTGAGAACATTGTAACACAGAAAAAAAGTTCTTCTGTCGTCAGCCCCTCTCTTTTCATCGTATCACTCACTGCATCACACTCTCAAGTAGGTGGTGACCACCATGGCTTGCGCTGCCGCCACCGCCACCAACGCTGCCACTATAGCATCACTTACCGCTCCAAACGATTACTCACTGTGGAATTTATTTGGGATATCATTTTTGACAACTCAATTTATTTTTATTAATTTTCTGCTCTTCCTTCGCCCGACGTCGTTCTCCGTTGCCTCCGCTCAGCGCTCCAGTCGCTGCACGCTCGTTAACTTTCGCATGCTGCCATTACTCCAAAAGCAATCTCTCCGCTGCCCTCACATACAGCTAACGGTTAGTTGACCACCCAGCCACCTTGTTGGCGCTGGCGCCCGCTCTGCTCTCTTCCCCTTTCGCCGTTCGGTGCGCCACCAACCGACCACATTATGTGTAAGTGAATTTCAGTTAATTTATTATCGGGAATTATTGCCTTTATTGTTATGGTTATTCCACTCTATTCCATTTCAGCTTATTCCATCAGCTAACGGTGTAAATGTTGCAATCAAATTCCGCCTGCCACACACTTGGAGGCCATTCTCCATCATATCCCTTTCCACGACTCTTTCGGTTAGCTTGCTTCGAGAAACACACATTTAACGGTATATATACATATATACCGATGTTGCTGGTTGGCAGCTGTACGCTTATAGGTTGTTTGTGGTGTCGTTTAAACTGACTGCTGAATTGTGGCGGCTGCCTGGTGTCATCGCTGAGCTGCAATTAGGAAATGAATTTGTTGAGAATCACAAGCACACGTTCTTTTACATCGTTTATTTTTTCTTACTTACTTCTTGTAGCTTCGTGTGTGTGTTCTCGTTTTCGTAGAATACTGTGTATGTGTGTAGTTGTGTGTCTTTCAAATTGGTTGAAGGCTTTTTGTCAAATGGCAGGACATTCATGGAAATAATGAATTTTTATGCACAGATGTAAAAGTTATTAGAGTTAGTGCAGTGAGAGGGTTAGGTAGGGGAGTGTAAATGAGGCAAGAGCATCCATGAATTAATATTCTTATTTCTAAGTGTATTATGTAGAATATTTCATCACTTAATTTTCAGCCGTTGAGTTAACAAAGAGCTTTTATTTATTGAGTAAAGCATCGAAAGCTTTCTTTAGTTTTTAGGTTCCCTACGAGTTGATGCGTCTTGAGTACCGCTAAATAACCTGCGGTTTTCAACTCACGAACTCGAAGTTAGCTTTCAAATTGGACAAAGACTTGGATTAACTGACTAACTGTGTGTTCAATACTAGTTAAGGAATGCCTAACCTCGCCACTAATGGCATTGAGTCACTTTGTGATACGACTACTATGGGTGTCAGGTCACAGCGCAATTGCAGGTTACCCTAGCGCCGCTATTAGTCAAATGGAAACGGATCGGTACTTCGCTCTCTTCGCGCGTTATACTACTGGATAGCTGGGCGACCTTTAATTCTACAGCTGTCACGAGATACTTTGGATCCAGAAGTCCAGTGAGCTCTTTGCTCTCAGTAAGCTCGTTCCTAGTTGTAGTTTTCTAACCGGTCATTGCAATTTCGTCCACGCGAAAATGTTGATAATCTTAGCAGATGCCAACTGTAGAAGCTGTTTGGAAGTAGACGAGGTAGAAACATATCAAAACTTCCTTCAAAATACAACTTACAAATGGACTCGAGCTGCTCAAGTAGAGAGTACATCATCAGGTTCCAAATATATGGACCACAGATGGATCTCAGCGGGCAGCTTCGAGTCAATCCGATCTCCACACTCTCATTTATGCCAACAATAGAGGCTTTTCTGTCGGAAAAATGACTGCGTCCTCTAGTCGTTGTGTTCCTCAATGCCAGCTTAAGTAATCGAAAGCTACTTGAAGTCAGCAAAATACTACAAAGACATATATATGTTGATATTCTCCCTTACAGCATTTTATACATACATCCATGGCTCATCTACACTGCGTAATTTATTGAACTCATAATAGCTGACCACATGCTCCGCGTTAGCTCATAAAGTCATTGCAATAAAACTCTTTCTAAGTACCAAAAGAGACTGATGCCCCGATAAGAACGAAGATCACTAATGATCTTTTCAGGAGACTTCAGTAGTTTGCTACTTCTCAAAAAGAAAAAGCATAAGAATTGGAATTTCAGCAGGCTTTGGTAGAGAAAATCCAACAAAGTAGAAAATACAATGAGATATATTTTCAAGACATTGTGGCCAAGCTATTCACCGTGCAACATTTATAGCTTTCCGCCAATATTTTAAATTTATAAGCAAGACATCACCCTTACCAACCGTCATGGTTGCAATATGTGAACGGAATCCATAACTATCTGATTGGTTTAAGTGGCCAAGGAGAACTTTTTATAACCACTTTTAAGCCAATAAAATGGTGGACTATAATTTATAGATATCCCAGGCACATTAAAATAAACAGTGCCGCAATAGAGTACTAAACCGTTATATAACGCTGTATATTTATATAGTTGTATACATATATACATCTATGTATGCCTTGTGAGTGCAACACAAATAAGTGCCACATAGAATTTATGACCAGCTATTGGACGCTACCGACGCACTCATAAATTTTAGCAAATGTTGCAATCGATGGAGTAGTACACGGAGGCAAACCGAGGCAAATAAACGTAAATGCAATAAAAATTACAGCAACAATTTCAGTGAGCCAATGGTAAATGTGTATGTATGTATGCAGGACATAAATGTACGTGAGTAAGTAAATAAATAAATACATTGAGTAAAGTGAATAAATGTTTGCTGGCAATTTGGCATTTTTTATTGCATTTGCCGCATCAATAAAACCGCAATGTAATTTAAAGTGAACGCATTACCGAGCCACCGAACTTGGCACGAAGCAGCAGGAGGCAGAGAACGCCTACTGTTAACACACACACACACAGTGACACAGAGAGGCAGAGACATACGAATGCATTAAATATTATTTAAGTATATGAAAAGCGTTTATGTGTTTTTAAGTATATGTATGTATATGCATAAACTCACACACACACACACAAATACTCATACAAACAACGCCAATTGGTAGCACGAGTGACCAT